TTCTTTCTTTCTTTCTTTCTTTCTTTCTTTCTTTCTTTCCTTCTTTCTTTATTTCTTTCCTTCTCTGTCTCTCTCCTTCTTTCTTTCTCCCCTTCCTTCCTTCTTTCTTTCTTTCTTTCTCTCTTTCTTTTTTTGAGACAGAGTCTCGCTCTGTCGCTCAGGCTGGAGTGCAGTGGCACAATCTCAGCTCACTTCTTCTTCTTTTTAAAAATCATCACAATAACTCAGATAAGGAATGAGCAGCTTGCCCAAGTCATTCAGCAAGTTGCTGAGCCTCGTCTTTGTGACTTCAACACCCCAACTCACCCCAATATCTCCCCAACCCTCATGTGGCATTTCACCTGCCTCCCTCATTTAGCAGGGAGGGATTGGGGTCGACAGTAAGAGATGGACTCTGGAGCCAGCCTGCCTGGTACAAATCCTGGCTCCATCACTTCCTTACCCTGGGCAGGTTATTTACCCCTCTGCCTCACCTACCTTGTCTGTTCAATGGGGATGATCATGGTGTGCAGCTTGAAGAGGTTTCAGTTAGTTAACATGCCTAAAGCCTGGCACTTGGTCATTGTTAGCTGTTATCATTCGTTAGATCTCTACTGTGTTCAAGACCTGGTTCCAGGAACCCCGGGAAACACGAGACAATAACAAAGCTGGTCTTCAGCCTCGCCGGCCAGGGCGCTCCATTTGGTCCCTTGCTGTTCCTGGGGACACAGTTCCTAGGCACTTTGCGCAGGCAGTGCCTGCCTGCGCCTGGCCTGGGTGCTATTCCCGCAGTGGGCAGGAGCTCTCGGGTTAGAGTCCCTGAGATTTGAAGGGGTTTGAAGGGATGAGATTGGCCTCAGTGAGGATCCAAGCTTCCTGCTTGCAGGATCTGGGTGGCATCCACTCCTCATTCTCTGTTTCCGGCCACGCCTCACCCGGCTCTCAGTGCAGACCCCTGGCCTGCACCATGCATTCATTCATGCCCAGACTGCCCCTGTGCCCCATGCCCACAGCTCCTGCCCAGTGGCTGTCATCAAGAGTGAGGGAAGGAGGATTTGCTCCCAGCCCCTCTCTCTGTCTGCCTGGGGTGGCAGTTGTGCCCGCACCTGTCACTGAGCTGGACCTTGGAGACCTCAGGGGCCTGTGATCTTAAAATCAGTGTGTTCCACTCAATTGTCAGGAGAGTGGTCTCACAAAGGTGGTTGTGTCCCCATCCCTAGAATCCCTGTACAGCAAACACACACAGTGGTGTACTGGCAAATGTTTAACAACCAGTTCTCTGGAGCAAAACTGCTTTGATTTGTAACATTCATCCATATCTGTGGTATAAATACTCTCACCAAAGCTGATTTCAAACTATCAACATAGTGTCCTTAATTGCAGAGTTGGGGAGGGATGAATGCACAGCTGTGCAGCATTATATAATATTTCCACCCCACAGATACGGTGGACATGACAACCTCAAACACAGGTGATAGTAATGTGGTAAAATAATTAGGAAGTGAGGAGTTTTGACTATTTATCTCGTTTGGTTTTAGTGTGTTTTTCTTCCCTCTGAGACAGAGCCTTACTCTGTCACCCAGGCTTGAGTGCAGTGGCACGATCACAGCTCACTATAGCCTTAACCTTCTGGGCTCAAGTGATCCTCCCACCTCAGCCTCCTGAGTAGCTGGGACCACAGGTGTGCACCACCATGCCTGGCTAATTTTTGTATTTTTTGTAGAGACAGGGCTGCCCAGGCTGATCTCGAACTCTTGGGCTCAAGCCATTTGCCTGCCTCAGCCTCCCAAAGTGCTGGGATTATAGGAGCCACCATGCCTGGCCTAATAGAACATATTTAATTGTAATTTAATATAATTTGATATTTAATACTGGCTTATTAACAGACTTAACAAATTCCTGAAAATTTAGAAGTTGATTCCCTTGAAGCCAGTAGGCACTGCCTGCAGCCCACTACTGCCTGCAGCCCACTACTGCCTGCCCCTGTGATACGGTTTGGCTGTGTTGCCACCCAAATCTCATCTTGAATTGTAGTTTCCATAATCCCTACATCACAGGAGGGACCAGGTGGAGATAATTGAATCATGGGAGGAGTTCCCCCATCCTGTTCTCATGAGAGTTATTTTCTCACAAGATTGGATGGTTTTATAAGGGGCTCCCCATTTGTTGGGCACCCAT